AACTGATTTAAGGGCTTTTCACAGGCATTCTGAGACTGTCTCAAAAGGAATCAACCCTGTACGTTCAGCCGTGTCGATTCTAATTGATTTCATAATCCATGTACTATTGAAATTTGAATAAGACCAGGTGTGTGTTACTGCTCGTGCCCAAGGGATCTCAGGGCTGTCAAAACTGATTTAAGGGCTTTTCACATGCATTCTGAGACTGTCTCAAAAGGAATCAACCCTGTACGTTCAGCCGTGTCGATTCTAATTGATTTCATAATCCATGTACTATTGAAATTTGAATAAGCGCAGGTACGTGTTACCACTCGTGACTGGGGGATCTCAGCGCTGTCAGAACGGATTTACTTCAGGCACCTACTTTGGCCCAATCTGAGACTGTCTCAAAAGGAATTAACCCTGTACGTTCAGCCGTGTCGGTTCTAATTGATTTCGTAATCCATGTACTATTGAAATTTGAATAAGCGCAGGTACGTGTTACCACTCGTGACTGAGGGATCTCAGGGCTGTCAGTCCACTTCAGGCACCTAATTTGGCCCATTCTGAGACTGTCTCAAAAGGAATCAACCCTGTACGTTCAGTAGTGTCGATTCTAATTGATTTCGAAATCCATGTACTATTTGTAACGGTACTGGAAACACGATGACTAGGTCGCAGGTTGGGTCGAACTCGATGGATGTCTTGTGGAAATCTAGGGGCTCTGGTGCTAATGGATCGTGTCTCCTCTGCAATCGATGTAGCCAAAGAATGATATTGAAGAATCAGCAAAGTTGGTACTTTGCTGATTGTACTATATACTGTCTACGGATATCCTCGTCCTTGTCCTCTTCCTGCTGCAAGCGTCTACGTACATACTCGGACAGGTGAAAAACCGCTTTGAGCAAACCCAGTGGGGAAAATCTCGAAAGGGGAAAACCCGTCCCTACCTACTGCAGCACTGCCTCCAACTCCCGCTTTTCTCTGTCGTAATCCGTCGAACTCGATAGAGTCCTCTCGATTCGTTGTTACCCCTTAACAAGTTTCCCCCCCTGTCTCAAGGATCCTCGCCGAGGATCCTGAGTCCTGTAACCAAGTGATTCACATGGATTGTTCTGAGACACCTTTGGTGCGCCCTGACGTCACACCTACGCTTAGTGTGACGGTTGCCATGAAACGCGTCACCCGCACGGACCTCCAATGTGATCGAGAAATTACTGACCAAGTCTCTTTCCCACCTCTCTCTTCTTCTTTCCTTCCCATTCCTTCTTTTTCCTCTTGTTTGTCGTTCTTTTTACTTATCTACCATTATCCATCCATATCTTACCCATATCTTAGCGTATCCTTCCAACTCTGACCTGTCTGTGAGCATGAATAAGCGCACTGTAAGCAATTCCTTTCGAAGTCGATGTACTTCTTTCTATTTCTTACTTGGCTGACGAGATTAGTTGTCTCCTTCTTCGTCTTCTCGTCGCACTCGGGCCTCTACCTTGGCAATTTTACCCGACGTTGACCCCGAACATCTCATGCGTCAAACGAAAAGAATGAGAATTACTTCCCAAGTTCCTGATACTACCCAGACTCCCACGGTTGACGCTTCTCGAAGGGCTCTGGACACCATTAAGGATCGATATCAATCCGGTCCTTCTCGCGATCAACAATCGTCTCATCTCGATGACCAGGTCATCGAGCAATATTTCGACTTCGAAGGGGGTGCTGGGCCATCTGCCACTGGTGAGAACCTATCTCCCGCCAAATCCGTCGAATCCGAACACGGCACCGTCGTCGAGAATCAAAATTCTCCTGGTAATAAGTCCCCTGTGCCACCGTCTGATTATTCAGAGGGACTTGTCGAGGTTCCCCATGAACTCGGAAACATTTTTCACGCCCCTCGTAAGGTTCCGGTCAATGACGAACTGGTTAAGTTGCTCCAGGATCGAAAGGACTCCGAGATCGGTGAGAATTCCACCGAGTTCTGTTCGCTTCTGACTTGTCAGCTACCCTTTGGTCCAGCATGACCTTCTCCTCTGTTCGTCTCGCGTTGAAGAACGAAGCTCTGGATCGTTTCCGTGAAACCAACGCCATCAAGCCCACTGTAAAGTGGTTTAAGAACGCTGTAAGCCTCGAATTCTCTCGAGTTTCATCGATTCTAATCATTAGCTCAATCGTTTGGCCCAAGGTTGGCGCCTCCGCAACAAAAATGGTGCTGTTGTTCGGCTAGAGGGTGAGCTCTGTACCGATTGTCAACGTCGTCTCGATGGTGGTGAAGACTTTCGTGTTGGTTGTATTGGCCCTCATAAGTTCTTGTTGCGACTCGTTCGATGTTGATGCAATTCAGTCGGTGGTGTGTGCGGTGAATGTTCTGCTAAGGGTACTTCAAAATGTTCGGTGAAGACCAACAATCCTGAGTCCAAATTTTGTGAGGTACCTGTCTATTTCCTTCGAACTTGGTCGATGTTGATGTATAGGGTATCGTTGTGGGAGCAAGAACGGTTACTTCCAAGGTTACCTTTGTCCTGGAGCACGAACTTTGTGCGGCTTCGGTCCGTTATCGATCCCTTCCTGCCCATGATCAATCCGCCTGTCTGACCCAACTTTCGGGTTACATCCATCTCTTTACCTCCCTTCTCCTTCCTCTCCCCTCTCAACATCTGGATCTCTATAAATCTCTCCATCTTATTTCTGCCAACTACGCTCCTCCTACTGCGATGAAACTCTGGATCATCTTACTTCTACTGGTGATCCTACAGGATTGAGTTCCTCTCAACCAGTCGCCGGTCCATCCTCTTCTCCCCATACTCCTCTTCCCCGCAATGTCATTCGTATTCCCGCTTCGGCCCGTCGTCCCCGAGCCAATTCCACCACCTCCAATTTCTAGTGTGATTATATCTCTCTATTTGTAGCTATATTTCCTGTGTATGCATTCATTTCCAACCCAGTTTTGTTGATCTTGATCGAATTCTCACTTTCTTCTGGGGTCCCTTTTCCTTTTTTCCACAAATTCACCAAAAACGGCCGACTCCTCTACATTTTCTCGTGGTTCCCAGTCATAGGCCGTGTTTCCTGTGTATCCTAACCATTTTACCTTGAATTCTTCTTTTCCTCGTCGAATTCTGCTGTCCACAATTGCTTCCACATGGAATTCTTCCTGGCCGTTAATTACTACAGGTGGTGGGGGTGGTATCTGTCGACCTGGTATCATGTCCTTAGGATATGGTTCCAACAGTGTGACATTGAAGACATTGTGCACTTTCATTGATGGAGGTAGATCTAATTCGAAAGCATTTTTCCCCACTTTCCTTATGACCTTGAAGGGGCCAACGTATTTTGCTTCTAATTTTCGACTGGGTCTTTCCGTCGTAAGATACTTCGTACTCAGTAGTACCTGTTCTCCCTCTCTGAATTCTTCTGGTATACTC